TCACAACCATCTGTAACTCCAATTCCAGGAGATCTGATACCCTCTTCTTGGCACCAGGCATGCATGTGGTACACAGACATAGATGCAAGCAAACACTTAAAATAGATTAATGTTTAAATAAAAAGAGGGGTAGGGGACCAGTGTGTAAGAATTGAATGCCTTCAAATCAGATGCCTTCAAAGCCCCAAAGTCACTGTTAAACATCCCCGAGTGACTGCCATTTCTAGGTGAGTCTTTCTTCCTTTCTTTCTTTCTTTCTTTCTTTTTCTTTCTTTTTTTAAGATTTCTGCCTCCTCCCCGCCACCGCCTCCCATTTCCCTCCCCTTTCCCCAATTAAGTCCCCCTCCCTCGCCAGCCTGAAGAGCAATCAGGGTTCCCTGCCCTGTGGGAAGTCCAAGGACCACCCACCTCCATCCAGGTCTAGTAAGGTGAGCATCCAAGCTGCCTAGGCTCCCACAAAGCCAGTACGTGCAGTAGGATCAAAACCCAGTGCCATTGTTCTTGAGTTCTCAGTAGTCCTCATTGTCCACTATGTTCAGCGAGTCCGGTTTTATCCCATGCTTTTTCAGACCCAGGCCAGCAGGCCTTGGTGAGTTCCCGATAGAACATCCCCATTGTCTCAGTGTGTGGGTTCACCCCTCGCGGTCCTGAGTTCCTTGCTCGTGCTCTCTCTCCTTCTGCTCCTGATTTGGACCTTGGGATTTCAGTCCGGTGCTCCAATGTGGGTCTCTGTCTCTGTCTCCTTTCATCGCCTGATGAAGGTTAATATCCAGGAGGATGCCTATATGTTTTTCTTGAGATAGGCTTCCTCTGTAGCTTTGGAGCCTGTCCTGGAACTAGCTCTTGTGGACTAGGCTGGCCTTGAACTCACAGAGGACCGCCTGACCTGCCTCTGGGATTAAAGGCGTGTGCCATGACTGCTCAGCTCTAGTCAAGCACTCTTGGGACCTATTGCCTACAATTCCCTATTAGCGAACAAAGTACTAGAAAGCACAGCAGGTAAGAACTCCTAAGGCCACAGGCCTCTGTGAGGAACAGATTGGAAAACTTTGGGGTGGAGACCAGGGCAGTTCTGTGTTTTGCAGACCCTGTTAGCTGTCAGCATATTGCAGGATTTCTTTTTGCTCCTTCTGAGATGGTGATACTTCCAAGCTGTATTTGTGTGAAGGCTTCTTGGATGTGGAGTTCATAGCTAACAGTGGACTGTGGGACGTGGCAGTTTGTATAGGGAGAAGAATGGTGCACTTCAGCTTCATTTGGTACAAGGCGAGAACCTACCCAGCGACCACCGGTAGAGGAAGGACCAGGGACCATGCACCGCACACCCTGCAGTGTCACAGCGTGCTCTACCGAAACAAAAGCCACAGCTTGGGTGTGGTGGGGAAACTGTAATCTCAACCCTTGGGAGGTTGAGGCAGGTTGTGAATTCAAAGTCTCCATATATATTGATCTCTAGCACAGCATATAGCCCAGGCTGGTCCTGAACTCCTTATATAGCTGAGGATAACCTTGAACTCCTGATCTTCTGACCTCTACCTCCCAGATATTAGGATGATAGTGCAGGCATGTGACACAGTTGTCTTCCCTTCCACTGGACCCAGAACCTCTTCCTGGCATCTCAGATGCTGCACCATCCTGAAAGTGCCTCCTCCTCCCAGAAGGCCCCCCTCATAGCAGCCACATTTTCCTGCTTCTCTCTCATTAGTATAGCAAGCTGCAGTGCAATTATCTGTCCAGTTTTCCTTCTCCCTGACTAGGCTTTCAACATTTTAAGCATCACCATCAAAGCTTCAATATACCTGTCCAATTATGCATCTCTGTTGCATGCCTAGCACCGTGCCAAAGATAAACTCCCCTGGAGGAACGAAATAATTAGGTGCCTGTCCCCTCAGCAGGTGCGCTCTCAAATACAGCCTATGTACATACAGTGTGTGTTTAAAGGCAAGAGCAAGAGTGCCTATTTCCTAAAGCAAAGCAGAGAGAACTCTTCAAGAGGAAAGTTGTCCCTTACTTTGGGGGATGACCCCGGGTTGAGTGTGTCTGTTTAATCCGAAAAGAGATAAATATAGTCTGTAAGCAAGAAGGACAGGGTGGCCAGGAGGGAGGCTCATGCACCACTTGTGGTGTCCATCCCTCAGGCGTCTGCAAGGATCTATGGTAGCATGGTCCATGCAACGGCCTTCCGGGAAGTCTCTGCAGAATCCGGGCCCTGCTTCCCCTTTAAATAAGCCACTGATATTGGCTGCCCTCTTGTCTTCAGACCTTGGAAAACTAGATGGCAGGTTTCAGCCATTTCCATCTGTGTCCTCCCAGCCATGGTCACCGCAGTCAAATCACCCAAATTCCAGAATGCATTCTTCAGAGTGGTAAGAACGCGGGTGCCACCTTCCAGGTGGTAAGCCCAGGCATAGTCATCTCTTCAATTGTCCAGTCTTCGAAAACAGTGATTCTCATTTGCCATCTTACACTGATGATTCCAAGTTTCAGAGCAGAATCTTCTAGATTCTCTGAGAACATGCCCTCCACATTCTTCCTGCTCCTACAGCCCCTCTCAGGGACAACCCAGAGCCTGTCCAGCTGATTAGAAGTTCTCCCCAGAGTTACTGCCTCAAGAGTTCCACAAGCACTGTCCTCATAACAAGGAAGGCAGGATCTGGAGAAGGGGCCAGGCTGTGAAGCTTCTCCCTCACTTCAGCCCTGCGGCGTGGACGCCTCTGGGGGCGGCAGCCTGAGGATCCCCCAGAAAGCTCCAGTGTGTTGTCTGTGGAGCTAAATCTACTGCATGGAGCACGCAGTGTTACAGTTGAGCAGAGACTGGAGACAGAGGAGATAGAGCTCCATCTCCGGAGCACTGGAGCTGATCTCGGTGAGTTTCACACCAGATCCAGGAGTGTGTGGGACAGATGGAGACAAAATGAGCCATGACTAAAGAGGGTGGAGTGCCATGCACATGACCGCATCACCATCCAGACAGTCCTCGTGCTGCTATTTTTAATCACAGGAATCATAAAATCGGTGTCAGATGGGCTGGTCCATTTCTGCAAGCTGAGGACAGGAGAGAGAGGATCTTTCCAGGGAAGAGAGGTTGCTGCAAGAAGGCCATTAAGAATGTGGCTCTCAAAGGCCAGGCTTCGCCTTGAGCCTCACCAGCCCTGAGCTGTGTGTTCCTCTAACCATAACAACAGACTCCTCATCCCACCCACTTCAGTCCTGGCCCTGCGAACTTAACAGACATAGATAGAATCTTCTGAATGCAGACTGTGGACTGAACACTGGGGAGTCAGATACAGATACGATCTGTGGTCCTGAAGGAAATTGTGCCTCACTGAAAAGGAGCACCCTGTACCTGTCAATGTCTGCTGAACTGTTGCGGGTGCAAGCCTGTGGCAGGAAGCCTCTGGGAAAGCTTCCAGTGGAGGTGACAGCTAGCTCGGGCTGATTCTTCAAAGATCAGCAGAGGTATCAGATAAACAGACAAGAAAGAACCTGGAGGAGGAGGGGAGGAGGATAATGGCAGATTTTTTTGTTTGTTTGTTTTAATGAAAGAGTTCTGGTCTAGTGTGGGTTCCCAAGCCAGATGAGGGATAATATAGCATTGTCCAAACCTAGGACTTTTCTCAGAGAGCACGACAGGAGTGAAGCTGCTTCCTACTTAAATCAGGCTTAGGCCTCCTCAACTCCATAGAGACAAAGGCCACATGATGATAAAGTCAGTCAAGCTTCTGTCCCGCCCTGTCTACCTGACAACTAGCCCCTGTCCCAGAGAACTAGCTTCTTAGCAATCATGTGACTGGAAGTCTGATAATCTGGCTGATGTGCTTGGAGAGCCCCGTGTGCACCTCTCCCCTGGGAGCTGCAGCACTTCCTCCCTGGACACACAAACACACACACACACACACACACACACACACACACACACACACTCCAGCTATATAAGCTAGCTCAGCCATTTCAATAAGCTGTCCTCTGAATCCCTCTCCAAGTGTTTCATTCCCATCACCTTGAGACCCTGCTCCCTAACTCCTCTGAATGCTGTAACCGCCAGTGCACAAGGGCTGATCAGGGTCAGGGAACCCACAGCCTAGCATGCACTAAGCCCTCAGTGCCTCTCCTAGTGTAAACCAAGTGTGATGGCACACACCTGTAACCCCAATACTTGAGAGATAGAGGCAGGAGATCTGGAATGCATGGTGATCCTTGGATGTGTAGCACGATCGAGGTTAGCCTGAGCTATGTGAGATCCTGTCTCAAAAGACAAAAGCCTGTAGCCTTCTCCGAAACCTGGCTGTAACAGGTTTCCCAGGAACCCAGGTAGATGCCTGCATTGACCGCTGCCCTTGGAGGCTGCTCAGGGCGGGAGGCTGCTCAGGGGAGGCTGGCACAGTAGGCCACCCGTCCCTTTGAAAGGGCTCCTTCCAGAGGTTGGGCTGAGAGCAGATCCAGGCGGTGAGGGTTGGCCTACAAGTGGCAGTGGCAAATTGGGGTACTGGAGCTGAACAGGAACAGGGACCTCCCACCTTGGGCTTTGCGGTGAAGTATATAACTAACTCCTGGCTCAGGACCAGGACCCGCTTCACCAGCCACAGGAAGAAAGACTGGATCGTTAAACAGAAGCTAGACGCTAAGAGCAGAACTTTCTAGATTCTGTAGCTTTCATCTGGACTCTAGTTTGTGTTACGAAATGCCTGGAAATTCAGAGAGGAGTTTAATGACCCAGATGGGCTGTAATGGGAAACCAGGAAGAGCTGTGCCACCAAGGGATGGCAGGAAGTAGACTCACAGATGTGCTCGCCATCTGGGGCTTGGAGGCCTGCTTCTCATTTCCTCTGACCAAGCACTTCAGGCCCCACCCCCACCCTTGAGTCCTGTGGCCTCGTGGCCTCGCAGGCACAGTCTCTAGTCAGGCCCCACCTGTCTGGCCACAGCCTCTCTGCCAAGGCCAGCTCTATGGTCTGAATTGTGATGATGTGACTGAGGTCACCCACTGTGTCTCCAAACAGGGATGAGAGAGGAGATGTCACTGGGACGCCAGGAGGCTTTTGAAATTTTCAAGAGGGACCATGCAGACAGTGTCACCATCGATGACAACAGACAGATTCTCAAGCAGAGGTAAGACCCAGCCAGAAAGCAGCTGCCCACAGGCTTAGGCAGACCAGTCCGGAGACTTCCTATACTGTCCTTCTAATTGCCCAGCCTAGTGTCTGCAAGAAAGGTGTAAGGTCTACAATTTCACATTTCCCAGTGTGCACCCTGTGTGAGCTTTACCATCCCAGAACTACTGGTTAGCCAGGTGTAGGTCGGGATCTGTCCCTGCCAGCATTAGCTCCATGGACAATGCTCACTTTGTATGTATTCTCACAAGCCTAGCACTTTTAATATCTTCATCATCTTCAGGGGAGAATTAGGCAAGCTGGGGTATAGCTCAGTGGGTAGGTAGAGAGCTTGCTGTGTATCCGTGGAGACCTGAGGTCAAATCACCAGAACCTTGTACTTGTGATCCCAGCACTGGGAAGACAGAAAGAAAAAGAAGGTTCTCTGGGGCTTACTGGTAGTCAATCTAATTAAATAAATGAGTTTCAGGTTTAGCATCTCAAAAAAAGTAATAGAAGAATAATGGAATTGGTCTCTAGTCTACACGTACACATTTTTTAATGTATAGACCAAATTGCATTGCTAGGTCCTCCATATTTTTGGTAGAATCAAGAGTTCAAGTAGATGAAAGGCATGGGGAGAGAGAGGAAGGTTTAACATAGCTGCTACATGGAGGGATGAGAGACTTGACTGGGAAGGGCCAAGGAACACACCCAGACTGATATAGCTGCTTCCCCAGGGCGGGAGCAGATCTCAGCGCTCTTCAGGAACCAGTAATGCAATTCATATCCAGAACTCTGGAGAGCAGTTCAGACCCTCTCAGTCCAGAGAGGTGTGTGCACCTTGTGACTGGGGTAAATCTCTCCCCTGGGCTCCCCAGAGGGCATGTAGAACTTTCATGGCTGCACTGTGGTAGCTGGAGTCGTTGAGCAAACTCTGGGTTCCGTGCTGAGCCGCTGGTAGGTGATGTAACAGAAAGTCCATGGATTAGGAAGCAGTATGGTAGTGGTGGTGGAGTGATGGACTGGATACTTGCATATCAACAAGGATAGATCTTAAAAGCACAACACTAGGAAGGCACACAGTTCCAAACACTTACAGATGGACTAGCCTAAAACCAGAGACCTTCATACAGAAATAGCCACCTGAGTGTACCCTGCAAATGGAAGTCTGCGGTGGGGTGGGAGGGGGAGACAGATGACTCACTGGCTAAGAGTGATTGCTACTTAAGCACAAGGCCTGATTGCAGATCCCAGCGCCTATGTAATGTTCTGGACTTGGCCACATGAGTACCTCTCACTCCAGTGCTGTAGGGTGGAAACATGAAGATTTCTGAAGCTTCCTAGCTACCAGCACAGCTCTATTTCAGGGAGAGATGCTGTCTCAAAGGAATAACATGGAGACTGACTGAGCTGGACACCTGGTGTCCTCCTCCGACCCCACATACACAGGCACTCACATCCAACATACACACACATGCACACACATACACATAAAGAATAGAAGCAGGAAGTAGGGAGCTAAGTAGCAATCAATGACCAAAGTCAGGCGAGGTAGGTGCAGGGTGGGCCTGAGAAGAGCCGAAGACTCTCCTAGAAGCGTGGACATACACTGACTTTGATTTTCACATTGGAGACCCGAGGGATTTCAAACCGGCTGAGGCTTCTGCTCCCCTGCATGCCACACATTCCTGATACGGCCAATAGGGTGTGGTAAAGCAGGCTACCTTCCTTGGGTATCTGGAAACAAGATTGTCAACTAGATGGCAGCTGCTTCCTCCTCTAAGAAAGTTCTCCACCGAGCCTTGAGGCTTCTTTGCCAGCTCACAGTCATGAATTCCTAGTGACCCAAGGAAATACCAAACACAGTTAAGCCTGGATCTGACTCCCCAGATACTCGTGTAACTAGGTGTGGCCTGAGCATCCTTTTTCTGTAAATGGATTCCACTAACAACCTGACCTGGAACCACTGACCCACAGACGTCCAGAGCCTTGGAAGGAGTCTTTTAAAACAATCAATAGAGCTGGGAAGACGGTTCTGCCAGGTAAGTGCTTGCCGTGCAAGCATGGGAGTGTGAGTTCTTTCCCCAGACCCCACATTAACTAAAACAATGATGGTGATGATGATGATGATGATGATGATGATGATGATGATGATGATGATAATAATGATGATGATAATGAAAGCTGAGCGTGGTGGCGCAGAGGATGATATTTATAATCCCAGAGCTGGGGAGGTGGAGACTGTGGGTTCATGGAGCTTAGTAGCCACTAGCCCAGATTACTAGGCAAGTTCCATGCCAATGAGAGACCTTATTTCAAAAAACAAGGCAGCAGTGTTAACGGAATGATACCTGAAGCTATTTCCAGTCCAAGCCTGCACACACACACACACACACACACACACACACACACACACACTGGTGATATTTGTGCACCCAGATTTAAAAGCCACCAACACAGAAGACATACTTAATTTTTCCTTCTCTGAAACCATTGTGGCTCCTGGCTGGCTTGAGCTTGCATCTGATGGGGAGGTGGGTCATGGCTTACCAGGAGGAGCATGTGTGGGTCTCTCTGAGACTTCTCCATACAAAACCTTTCTGAATCCAGTCAGCAGAGCTCTGATAACAGAAGCAGCCATCAGAATTTTACTTAAAGCACATCTTGTTCACCCCTGGTGGCCAGTGCTCTGGTGCTTCCATCTTCTACTTGGCCATTGTACAAAGGAACTAGCATGCCTCACACAACGCTATGAGATAAATAGATCCAGTGGGAAGGCCGGAGACCAGGCAGCTCTCTGAGATAAATCAACAGATCCAATGGGAAGGCCGGAGACCAGCCATTCTAAAAGGGTAATTCTACATCAGTTAAGTTAATATAATCAAAGTCACTAAGGAGCTGCTCCGTGCCAAGAGGCCGTGGGGTAGCACCTAGAGCACCACCTTCTCAACGGACCTCCACGCTTACTCCCTGTCACAGAGATTATTCAGTTGGTAGAGATTGTACCAAAAGGTTTCTCTGGAGGAACACAGCAAATGGACTGAATGCATTACCACAAAGGGGAATTGTTAGATTGGGTACTGGATACAGTCTGGGAGTCCAGCGGGGGGCATCTGCACACTGAGGAGGCTGAGAATCCAGTTAACAAAGCCAGGTGACTCAGCAGCCCCGGTCCACGCCCACAGCCTGGAACTGCCACAGAGTGGTTGGTAGGGCGTCCATGTTGGAGGGCAGAAGAAGCAGGACTCTAGTGTTGTGGATGATTGTCAGCGGCAGCCACACATGCTGCCTATTCCAGGACATCTTCAAACCGAGGCCACCTGCTGGAAGATGCTGCCGGCTTGGAGGGAGGAGCTTCCCTCCTCAGTTAGCCTCTCTGGAACTATCCTCACAGCTTACCCAGAGGTGTACCTTCCATACTTGTGCATGTACACATCCAGTCACACACGCAGGTGCCTACAGCAGAGACTGAGAGAAAATATCTTTTTATAAAAACCAGTGTTCCCCAACGGAAGACACAAAAATAAATCCCCAGATGCTCAGAGGAGTGACTTCCCTGGGGCCCTGACATAGAAATACTCAAGTAATCCTGATCCCTTCCAAATATTTGCTCCAGTGCTTCCTAGTGGCAGGGAGAACCCGCATCCTTAAGTGTTGGTCTGAAGAATCCTGCCAGACCAGAGGCCTGGGGTTGGGGTGGCATTCAGTTCCTCCCCCTCCCAGAGCCCTCGCCTTCTAATATCCCAGCGTGCAGGAGCCACTGGGCTGGTCTCCACCTTCCTCCGCTGTTTCACATCTATCAACTCTGGTGGATAGTTTTAGCGTGTCACCCTGTTGAGACTGCATTTGCCTGACACCAAACTAATCTCTAGCCCACAGCAAGAGACAGTCATCCCTGATGGTGGCATTGTTGGTAACCGCCGTGGTTCTCTCCACTTCCCCAGGGTCTAAGACCTGGTCTGGGGTTTCAGGAGGGCACATGGGTGGTCCCTGTGTCCCATGCTGCCTAGTAGGAGACTGTTCCCTGCTCACCCATAAATTTCTAGCACCCTCTCTCTAGCATACCCGAATGCTGCTGGGTCTGGGGGAAGTTCCATTGCCTGCGTGTGACGGGAGAAATAAGACGTCTCATTAGCAGAGCGTTTGCACTTTGTTGGCCTCCAGCATAGGAACCATTCTTCAGTGGAGGTTTTTCCAGGGGAACAGAATTGTTATACATAATCACTCCATTTTCGAGGCCTGAGTCGTCTTCCTACTATATAATAGGGAGCAAGGTGATGACCCCGTGTTCTGTAAATACTGGGGCCAGGCCAAGGGCGGGGAGCTTTTCTTCTGTGTCAAACTTCTTACAAACCAAACCCTTCAGACACAGAGTCTCCACTGAGTAACAAAAGAGGAAATGAGCAGGGAGACGAACTGCAATTGGAAGTCAAGGCATTAATAACGTGAGCTAAGTCACTCCACTGGGTCCTTCCAGCATAGAACAGTACAGCAATGTACAAGCAACAGGAGACGTGCGCTAGGGGAAATCGCAGACGCCATGTGGAAATGCTACCCATGATAAATGGGAGCTCCCCTATTCCAGTTAGACTTCAAGTTTAACCTTTATTATTTTTCCATTTGATTTTTATATTTTCTCTTTGTCTGCTGAACTAGAATTATAAACTCTGAGGGCAGAGACTAGATTAGAATCTTCTCAGAACCCCCTGGTTTTTAAAATGATGCTGGACACAAAAAAAGCTCTGCTCAAAGAACTGTTTTGTTTGAGAAGGCCTATTTGACATTGACTTGAGGACTCTTAGCACCCAAGGACACTGTTTAAGATTTGCTATTGCCTCCAAGAAGTGCAGAGCGGTAGGGGGAGTGGCTGAGTCCCTGGCCCTCAGCAGGCTGGAGAGGATGACAGGAGACAGCGGAAAAGGGCATTAGTTTGTAGAAGAAACGCAAGGGGAGGGCAGGCTGGCTTGTCATCACCTCAAAGCACTTGCTGCACAATGTGGAGGTTGGGGTCAGGTCCCTAGCACTTACAGAAAGCCAGGCCAGCATGCAGCTTACCTCTGTAACCCAAGATAGAGGAGGCAGAGCTGGGCAGACCCCTGGAGCTCACCAGGCAGCCAGACCAGCAAAATCTGTAGGCTCCAGTTTCAGTAAGACCCTGTCTCAAAAATTAAGGTGGCGAGTGATTGAGGAAGACACTTACTTGGCATAGACTTCTGGCCTCTACGTGCCCACTGTGCGTGAGAATTCCTGAAAAGAAACTGTCTTCACAGGGAAGTGATGAGCGAGGCTTTGGTGATATGGGGAGGCTGGAATGCTGCAGTGAGAGCAATCTTTAGCCTAACAAACGCCATTGCATACATGCCTGGGTCAGACCTGCCATCACGGTAAACAGATAGAAACCGCTCTCCACCACAGGGAGAGCCAATGACTGCGGGTCCTCTGGCCCACTATAACCCACCTCCCTAATGTGTCCACCAAGGTATTTTTTTAATGCCTTGATTTGTAGCTTTCTTTGTCCTGTTAATATTTTTTTTTTTAAAAAAAAAAGTCCATACAACTGCTTCCATGTTAGAACATAAAACCGGGGGTAACTTTAATCTGTGTTCCCAAGCCATGATCACTCAAGTTTGGCTTCAGAATAAGCCATCTCTGGCCCTAGGTCAGAGTGTCGCTCTCTGAGTCCCCTAGTGATTGGGAGGTGGGGAGTAGCCAGGTGTGGGCCCCCCAGCTGCTTTGCCCTGAGTAAAGCATATCTTTGGATACCACGTACCAAGGGTGAGACAGGAGCCTCTCAAGAATGTTTTCAGAAGTCTCATTAGGGTCTGCTTCAGTCACCTAATTCTCCTCATTCCCTCTGACGATGAGAAAGTTGGCCACAGTGTTGAAGCCTCTAACGTCCGTCTGCAGCCATCTCTTCTTTTGCTGGAAGGATGACCCTGGACCTGCATTGTCTGCGCGTACTGCTTCCAGGGCATGACCTCAGCTCCTAGCTCAGCATACCCCAGAAGGATCCTGGTGGTGGTCAATATCCATACACAGCACCTGGAGCTTCAGTCCACACTTCCCACGACCGTCTGCTGAGCTGATCAAGCCTGGCTTTTACCAGATGCTTCGGCACTGGTTCCGGTAGGGTGACAGGCCCTCAATGAGAAGACATGAATGACCTATGAGGAGAATCAGGGTGGAGTCCTTGGCTGCCCAGCCAGCCTTGTAGGAAAATGCAGTTCTCTTCCTTGGAACTCCCTGTCTTAGTCCCAGGCCAAACAGACAGATGCAGAAAACAGCAATGGCAGACTGTCACCGCTTTTCCAGCCAGCACGGAGCACTGGTGGCATCCTGGCCCTTACTTCTCCTCACTCATCCATGCAGTTCTATGCAGATGAAGGAGTTACAGACCACACAATGAAATAACTGAGTTTCTCTGGAACCCTGTGCGTTTCGGGGAGGTTGAAAGAGGACAGGGACAAAAGAGATTGTTGAATTAAGATGGACAATAGAAAGCCGAGGTAATAAAATAAGAGGTGTTAGCCTAACACGCTCGGTTTTATATGTGTTTGGAAACTTCTAGAATGAAAAGGTTTCTAAAATTTGGTGTATCTTCAAAATCCAGGTCACTCCCAGCTTCCACATGAAGGTGTTTTGACTGCACTACACATAGTTAGACCCCTTCTAGACAAACTGAAACAGTGTGGCTATGGTATCCAAGGTAGAATATGGACCATGTTCATATATTATGTAGTTGTTGTTTGTTGTGTTTTGTTGGTAGGGTTTGGTCACCCCTTTACTCTCGTGGCTGAAGGGGTGAGAGATCAACTAGTATCTCATGAAGTCTTGAGTAGTAGCTCATCTTTGTTGTCCTTGTGGCTGGACTTGGAGTTCCTTAGGAGACACACCTCTCAGTGTGTCTGTTGTAGGTGTTAACTGAGGAAGGAAGACCCCCCCCTTCTGACTGTGTGTGGTACCATCCCTTGGACTGGGTTCTTGGACTGACTAAAAATGAAAAGCAAGCCAGCCAGGCGTCACAGTCTCTCTGCTTCACGACACGGGTAAACCACCTCATGTCACCTTGCTGCCACCATGCCTCCCACACTGTGTGTGATGGCCTTTGTCCCCACAAGAGCCACCCATTCCTTCCATGGTTCACAACTTGTACTATTTCTTCAGTGCAAGGTTCGGCTCATCATGGATGTCACATGAAGGTCGGTTAGGAAATGTAGGGGCACCAGGTAGTGGTTCACGCCTTTAATCCCACTCACTACTCGGGAGGCAGAAGCAGGCAGATCTCTGTGAGTTCAAGGCCAGCCTGGTCTACAAGAGATAGTTCCAGGACAGGCTCCAAAGCTACACAGAGAAACCCTGTCTCGAAAAACGAAACAGAACAAAAAGAAAGAAAGAAAGAAAGAAAGAAAGAAAGAAGGAAGGAAAGAAGGAAGGAAGGAAGGAAGGAAGGAAGGAAGGAAGGAAATGTAGGGGCACCCTGACTGCACGCCAGCACAATTGCTGAAATGTAAGTGCACCCTGACTGTGCACCGGCACAACAGTCTTGTGGACTAGTATTTACCCACCAAATATAAGAGTTCCTAATGACATAGGGAAGAACTTACAATGCTAAATGGAAAACTATCGGGATATAATCTTACATATTATTTACATTATTATATGTGTGTATGTACTTATGCATACATTATAACCTCACTCTGTAAAAATGAGCTGGAGAAAAGACAGATATGCATTTCAGGATGTATTTATTTCTGGTTTGGGGGTTATTGTGAATTTTTCTCTTAAATTGTATTATTAAAATCTGGTTTAATAGTCATCTGTGACAGGAGTCAGCAAACGTTCTCTATAAAGGGTCAAATAGTAGAAGTGTTTTTCGCCAAAAGCCACACAGTCCCTGTCACAGCCTCTCCACTCAGCTGTGGTAACTTACTTACACGCCACCGTAGATGAAGTGGTGATGAATGGATGAACACATTCCAATAAAACTTTATTGACAGAACCAGGAAGTAGCCCTGCTTTGTCTCATGACTGGTCGTCGCTGACTGACCTCTGCTATACTGTTGTGTGTCAAGAAAGCAATGTTATTTAAGAATGCACACGGCTGATAGATCATGGCAGAGAAACCTTATCATCATGTTTCATTCTGGTACCCTGGCACTATAAAGCATCAGAAACTGAACTTATTGGGTAACGAATGTAAGAACATTTTAATTGCTATTTTGTGTGTATGGGTATTTCACCTGCTTAAAGTATATGCACTTCATGCTTGCAATGTATACAGTGCCCCTAGAAGCCAGGAGAGGGTGTTGGATCCCCAGAACTGGAGTCACAGATGGTTGGGAACCACCATGTGGGCACTGCAAGCTCGCGGGGTGCTCTGGACATGCAGGTGGTGCTTAGCCGCCCAGCGTTGCTCTAACTGGAGACTCTCTGTGAGGGAAACTGATAGTTCACAGCAGATGTGGTCACCCACATTCCAGTCTTTCTTGACCAGGCCACCATATCAAGCTCACTTTAGTTTTCCCTTTTCTTTATCACAGCCCTGCAGCCTCTCAGTCGTCTCCGCCTTTTTCAAATGTAACACAGGATGACTAGCAAAAAATAAAAATTCTTTGTTTTTGTTTTTGTTTTTCTCCAGATTTTCTGAAGCAAAGGCTCTGGGAGAAAGTATAAATCAAACGAGAAGTAAAATTGGTAAGCAGATGGTATTCTGGACGCTTCTTTCACCATTTCCCAGTGGACTTTGGGTGGTGCTGTGCCTTCTTCATATAGCCACGAAGTCTCGCTTGCATCCCTGCCCAGGGAGCCGTGGCACACTAAGCAAGGTGCTTTGTGTGTGTCCATCCTGGGCTGGTACCAGGTGTCTCACTGGCTCGCCATACCCCACTGAGAGAGTTTCGCTTCCGCCTGTGTTTCAGCAGTAGCCCAGCCTGTCATGGCCGTGCAGTTAAACAGCACTGTCTCATATTTCCAAGGGTCGTGAAGCACTGCTACACTGCCCAGAGCTGCTGCTGGGCATTATTGGCAGTCATACTCCTGTGCTTTCAGCACCATCCTTAAAGCCAAAGCTGGGAAGCTGGAAAGAGCCAGTGCTCCTCTCCCAGCCGCTGAGCTTCCCCGTTCAGGTGAGCTTGTCTGGAAGGGAGCACTTAAGGCAACAGGCAAACTTAAAAATGCACGCGCCTCCAGTCTTTTTCAAAGCAAGAGGAAAATGTCTTCTATCCTAAGCTACAAAATACAACCAAGCCCCACCTCTCTGACAGAGCAGCTTCACAGAGGGGACCCTTCTGCCTCTGTGCTCCAGAAAGCAACTGTTGCCTGTTTGCAACTGGTCCCTGGGTTCCTTCTTGCCCCATCTGTCCCTCAGAAGCCACTTTGAGAGCCCCCTCTGTGACTGTACAAGAAAGAGCTGCGGCAGCTTGACCCTAAGCCACACCTACACTGAGAGTCCCCATGTTCCATCTGGAGCCCTGGAGCTAGGATGGGTGTGATGGGTGGTTTTCATTCTCAGGTTTACAGAATCCGGTAGCACCTAGGAAAGGAGTCGCAGTGAGGAAGTGTCTGAAACAAATGGTTTGTGGATGTGGGTGCGGTGAGGGTGGGGGTTGTCTTGATCACATCAGTGGGTGTCCACTGTGGGTGGTACCACTCTCTAGGCTTAGGTCCTGGCTATGGAGGATGGAGAACATGGGCTAAGGAATAAGCGCATTTGCATTCATCTCTCTGCTCTTGACTGTGGATGTGACAGGACTTGGTACTTTAAGTTCTTGTCACACGGGCTCCCTTCTATGATGGACTGTGACCTGGCATTGTGAGCTGAAATTAGTCCTCTCTCCCCTACGTTGCTTTTGATCGGGACATTTTTTATCACAGCCACAGAAACGGAACTGTGATAGATGGGGAAACTAATTAAGTTGAAGTTTAGGACCACCTGCGATGGTGGAGGCGAACAGAGGTGCGGAACTGGCAGCACCTGCAGAGTGAAGGAGTACTCACCGCAAGGCAGCCTTTGTCGGGTGTCTCTGATGCTTCTCCCGCCTTGAACAGCTTAGTGGTGATTAGACTCCATATTAGACCTTGTGTCTAATGAACACATGTGTGTAACAGTACATCGATATTTATAAATGGTTTCAGAGCTTTGATAAGTCTCTCCTTATCATTATCAGCTATGTATTCGTGCCAGGCCACAGTCACGTGCACATGCCAGATCCCTTTCTCCACCCGCTGTGCAAATGTGTCTTTGTCATAGAGAACAGCAGTGGTCCTGCCCATCCCCCTTGTCACCTCTCAGATCCAGGTCACCTCCTTCTCAAAGGGGTTAGGAGGTGAGGACTACACTTGACCTATCCAGACTAGATATGCATTTGTGATTAATACGAAAAGGATTTAGATATGCTATCAGAAGCCCTGGGCAAGGGAACGCCGGGGTTTTATTTCCAGGAAACAGTGGTTAGAATTGACATCGGTGCTGAGATTTCGGCTTCCAGTTATACCAAGAAAGCAGCCAATTGAGATGTGAAAACAAAGCCAGTGCCCCGCTCACAGCCACTTTTCCAACTGTCTTCCTGATCCACGAGGACCAAGGTGGGCAGGCTGTGAAAACCCAGCCCGACTACTGAGCCATGCCCTCGCAGTGTCCAGCCACAGGGAGCCCCACATCCGAGTGTCACTCACAAGACGGGTTAAATCTGAGCACATGCGTAACGTTTCTGAGAGGTGGGAGCAGAGCACAGATGGGCCACGCCTTGGCTGGGGTGGCGACTCAGCTCTGCTGCCAGCACTGCCTCATCCCAGTTCTGGGCAGGCTCAGGTGCCATTGGAGTACACTTGTAATTGGCCCATGGAGAGAAACTACGGATCAACAAACCCATATGTCAAAACTTCAAATAGCCTGGCCACTGTCTCCATTTTTCTCTGACATTGTGACCTACAGCTCTGTCTTGCGTTTCATCCTTAGAGATTCCTGGACACTTTCTATTTCACTAGTAGCCAAATAATATCAAATTTTATATGGTAAAACTTTCCTATTATTTCCTTTCTTTAAGAAGCCAACTAACTAGGGGAATAACTATTGCCAGTACTAGAGAGACAGTTCAATGATTCACTTGCTGTGAATGCAAGAAGAGCTGAGTTCAAATCCCCAGTGCTCATGTAAAAGCCAGATATGGCCATGGGACAAGAGGATCCTGGGGGCCTGCTAGTCAGCCTAGCCAAAGAGGTAAACCTCAAAAGTAGATGTCCTACAGGTTTAGTGAGAGACTCTGTCTCAAAAAATAAGAAAGAAGACACCTGATGCACAACATACAACATAGGCACGCACACTCACACATGGATATGTATAGCACACACACGTGCATGCATGCACACACACACACTCACAAGCTCTTTTCACACACTTCTTTTTGTCCTTCTTAATAATTTGCTTACATCAGCTCTGATCTTGAAGTCAATTGAGGAGAAATAACCAGTTTAGACTCGCCCTGAAAATGAGCAGGTCTTTGTCTCTGAGCGGAAGCCATGGTAATTCTGTGTACCTGTCCCACACATCGGAATTGAAATACTCCGCAATTTTTAGTCACATGGATTATGTTTTAAAGACTTTTGTGTCTGCTCTATTGCCATCCTCTCTGTCTCTAAAAATGCCATTGAGTTCAAAATCTTGAGACAGTAGACTGCCTTAGAGACTCACTTCTTCGAGTCCTGGCATCTGTCTTTCTGCCCCAGTAGGCCACCATTGGCAACATCATCTCTGGCAACAAAGGACAGTGACCGGCTACACCCTGGCCAGGTCCCTCCTGTACCAGGCCAGGAACCAGCTGGTTAGTAGGTAGGTGAAGTGGTTTGACTGTAAGTTTAGGAACCTGTTCCCCACTCCAGGCTCCTTTAAGCCAGAAAACAATGGAAATGGACATGGTGGGAGCCGGTCCTCACAAGCCTGTGATGCAGTCAACACTTGGGGAAAGGGTTTGGTTTTGGCTCAGTAGCACAGTGCTTTCCTGGTGGCTGATGGGCCCTGTATTAAAAAAACAAAGTTAACAGAGAATGTAGCAGAAGGTGCACTGAGCAAGGGTTAAGCAAAAGATGTGGACACCCAGGAAGCTAGCAGCGTGTTCCGGTGGGACTTCTTTTTTCCCTCCAGATTCCTCTTTGACTGTTTCCGGCGTGTGTTTGGGACCCAGGAAACCGTCACTCAGTTCCATCTCCCTCTGCCTCCCAAGGGCAGGTTCTCCTCTGTCCTCCAGCTTTGGGTCTGCTCTGTCTGTGAGCATGCTCTTGAGCTTCACTCTCGGACCTACCTCCTGTGTGCCCGAAGGAGAGAAATAGCAACGTCCGACTCACTTTAATAGATTATAATGAGGAGGCCCTTTAACGCATTTTTCATGCTGGGCGGTGGTTGTGCACACCTTTAAGCACTCAGGAGGCAGAGGCAGGCGGATCTCTGTGAGTTTGAGGACAGCCTTGTCTACGAGAGCTAGTTCCAGGACAGGCTCCAAAGCCACAGAGAAACCTGTCTTGAACATTTTCACGAGTATTTATTTGGTGTGTGAGCATGCTGTGGCAGACACGTGGAGGTCAGAGGACAGTTTGTGCAACCCAGTTCTCTCCTTCCACCATGTGGGTCCCAGGACTGAACTCAGGTCATCTGTCTGGGCAGCAGGCACCTTTAACCAGAAGCCATCTCCCTGACCCAATGTCAGTTTCTTAATCTCTTGGTTCTCAAAGAGGTCCTTACCAATGGCCCTTTGTGTTGCCAGCAATACTAACCAGTCTTTATGTAGAGAGTTACAGTTTGTTATTCTACATAGCTACGTCTACTGATCATTTCCTTTATGGTTTCTTCCATGTTTTTACACGAGGAAGGGTCATTTTGACAGGGACTTTGTTGCTAAGTTTCTGTTTAATACTTGTCTAAATATTCTTATAGTTTTTCTAGTGTTAACATTTTTGCATTGAATTCATTTAGGATTTACTGTGAAGTGTGCCATAAGCTGAAATGCTAAGTAAGTTATCTCTGAAATAACCAGTTTTCCTGATACCTCTTCTGGTCTGTTTATTTGGTTGGCTGGTTTGGCTTGACTTGGTTTGCTTTTGGTTTTTCAAGACAGGGTTCCTCTGTATAACCCAGGCTGTCCTTGAACTCAGAGATCCACCTGTCTCTGCCTCCCAGGTGCTGAGATTAGAGATGTGCGCCACCACTGCCTGCCTTTACCTCTTTTATTTTAATGAAATACCTTAAAATAAAATGCTTCTTTTTTTCCTAAGTAAACACTTTTGGGTCTTTCAGGAGGAGGCTGATGCGACTTGATCTCATCATAACAGACTGACCTGATGATTTCCATTCTCGGACTTCAGAGATAACTTGGCCAGCAGATAACATTTAGATATCAGAACAAAAGCCCAGAGAAAAGTGTCAACCGCATGCCAGCCAGGCAGCTCGGGATGCCATGGGGACAGCAGCTTGCCTGAGTGGGTGGTCCCTCTGAGCTCAGCACTGTGTTTAATGCAGTCTTTAAATGCACAGCTTGGCTCAGCTTCCTGACCTACCCCCAAGAGTTGGTGAGATGCCATCTCTGTGGAGGGAGTGTGTTACCCTGCCTTTTGTCTGGAAGGGGAGTGATAGCAGGCCGAAGCAGGGTAAGAGCGTTAATGATGCTAGACAGGAAATCACACATAGCAGAGGATTTGCTGTGTTC